TGCACACACTGTCATGCAGGTTGTCCACACAGCCAGGGACCTCCTGGGAGGCCTGGGCTCCTGACCTCCAGGCAGGAGGGCTCTGTGCACTGGGATCCCTCCTGCTGCTATGGAGGAGGCATCGGAGGGCCTCGACCCCTGAGCACCATGTCCCGGGCTGGACACGGAGGAAGGAGGGCCATCAATCTGAGGAAACAGCACGTGTGGAGACTCCTGCACCTGAGAGTGGACGCAGGTGTCAGGACCCGGGGGCCTGAGGCCATGGGGCAGCCAGGGCTGGGCCAGCTGTGTGGAGTTGCTGCAGCAGAGCCTGGGCTTCGAGGGAGCGAGGGTTTGGATGCAAAGAAGAAACAGAACCAGATTCGCATCATGGAAATCCAAGCTGGGGCCAAGTGCAGGGGCATGGGGGATGGGCTGCGGCTGGAGCTGGATGAGGGGTGCGCTGAGAGGAGGGACCCAACTGGGGTTTTACCGGGACCAGGGAGGGCAGGTCTCGGGGGCCTCCCCACGCAGGGAGACCCCAGGTGGCTCATTCTAGGCCCACCAGCTTGTTGGGCCGTGGAGAAGGAAGACCTGCATGGAGGAGGTGGTGTGGGGATCCCTCAGTGCACCCGGCCCAGAGTGCAGTGTGCAGGCCCCGCCGGCTGAGGTGTGGCCACGGCTGGGCTCCTGGCTCCCCCACCCCGCCTTCCTCCTCCCCCAGGCCTGTGGCCCCAGTGCGGCCCGACGCCGTCCAGCAGTGGGGCCAAGAGCGCGTTATCAGATAATAAATAAGGCGGCTGGAGCCGTCCGTGTCAACATCTTGGCGGCCGCACAGGGCACTGTGCGGGAGGGGGCTGCCCACCAGGGACACCCCCACCTGGTGGGAGGCTGTGGGCTTAGGCAGCCTCTACTGCTGAGGCGCCTGTCGCGGGGGTGGACGTGGGCACCCTGGGGTCTATCCCCAGCCACAGCCTCACAACCTCGGGGGTGCCGGGTCCCTCAAGCGTCACTTCTTCATCTGTGGGATGGGGTTCCTCGCGTGGAGGCCCAGACACGGCCCAGAGGCAGACGTGGAGGGCTTGGGCCTGCGTGCTTGTTCCTCGGGCCTCACCTTCCACCTGGTGGCTTAGCACCTGGGGGCCGTGTGGAGATGGACCCAGCCTGCACAGGTGGGTTTGCTGCTGAGCGCATGCTGCAGCTGGCGGTGCCGGGCTGGGGGCCCTGGTGTGTCAAGAGCCCCACTCAGCCTCCCTCAGGGACCCCACCATGCACACACCAGGCCCTTCCCCACTGTGGGCCCTCCGAGGAGGAGGCTGGGCCCCAGGGTGCCCGAGGGTCCCAGTGCCAGCTGCTCCTGCCATGGGGAGCCTGGGTTGGGACACCAGGTACTGGCCAGCTTCTGAGGGCAAGTCTGATGTCCCCAGAAACATGGCCCCTGAGGCTGTAGATCCGGCCTCGCTCTCAGGTGAGAGCCTGGACTTGAAGGCCGTCCTGCCTCCCTCCTGCCTGGGCCGCTCTCCACCTTCTCTCCTCTCTGCTCACTCAGCCACGCTGCCTTCCCCACCTTCTCTTCTCTGCTCACTCAGCTGCCCTGCCCTCCCCACCACACACCAGGCCCTGACTCAGCCCACGTCTGACTGGCTGTCCCCGAAGGTTGCCCACATAACCTGGAGGAGGCAGCTCCCGAGCCCACAAACTGCCTGTGAGACTGTGGCACCAGCATAGCTGGTAAAGATGTCCCCTTCCAGACATGACACCGGTGTTCCTGGTGGCAGAGTAACCTGTTTGACGATGGTGACAACAGGAACTGTTTTTTTCTGAGGGATGTCCCTATTTGGTCAAATAAGGAGGTACTTTTTGTTAACAATGTTCCTTTTCTTTCTCTTTTTACACAGTCTTGCTCTATCACCCAGGCTAGAGTGCAGTGGTGCGGTCAGCCCTCACTGCAGCCTTGAACTCTTAGACTCAAGCGATCCTCCCACCTCAGACTCCGGAGCAGCTGGGACTACAGGCGGACGCCACCACACCTGGATTATTTGTTATTTTTGGTAGAGACGGGCTCTCATTATGCTGCCCGAGCTGGTCTCAAACTCCTGGGCTCGAGTGATTCTCCCACTTCAGCCTCCCATGTTCCCTCCTTAATGAGCACGTTGCATGTTTCAGACAAGCCTTAGGGGCTTCATGTCCACTTAGCCATGAGCTGTCTTTTGCAACATCAAAGGAGAGACTGACCTTCTCCCTGAGCCCACCCCTGGAAGCTGTGGGCCCAGCACAGTGGAGATATGATGGGTCCCCAGGTCTCAGCCGCCCGGTGGGGTTTAAGCCTGTATAGTGCAGCTCTCGGGATCCAGTGTCCATGTTTGGCCAAGACACACCTACGGGGGTCAAGGAGCACCACGTTGGTTGGTCGCAGTGAGGTCCAGGAATGGTGGGAGAGTGAGGACGTGCCAGCCTCTGGGCCTGCTTTGAGGGCGAGGGCTGCAGCCTCAGGGCCTGGATGCTTTCAGGCTTGCTGCTCTGCTCTGAATGAAGTAATAAATTAAGGACTTGAAGTGGGAGGGCTCTATAAATGGTTCTGGGTCAAGAAGCCCCAGCTGACGGGGCTCTGCATCTCTCTTCTTTTTCTATGCCGCCCACGCTGTTTTGGGGCTTCACCAGGGCCTTCTCGCTCCCCCAGGGTGCCCAGGATGGAGCACTGTGGGGCTTCATGAACACTTTCTGCAGGCTGGAGGGGCCACTGCAAGGTCCTTGGGGATTTCCCGGTGCGGCACCCTCCTCCTCCAGGCTGCCTGGGCATCTGCTTTAGTTCAAAAGGTGATGGGAAGTCAGGGTGCCCAGGTCCAGACAGTGCAGGTAAAGTGAGCTTCCTATTAGTCCTGTCACTCTGATAAGGGGCTGGGCCACTTGGCCCGCCAGCCTCCAGCTCGTCTGGTTGTTTATGGCCGACTGGGCAGAGTGCAGGGTAGGCTGGCGGGAGGGAGATCGCCTGGCGGGAGGGAGAGCGCACAGCGGGAGGGAGAGCGCACGGCGCCTGGCAGCTATATTAAGGCTCTGGTCCTCATGGCTTCCGCCCTAAGAGGAGAAAGGCTTAAATTTAGCAGCAGTGACCATGCCCAGCGGTGGAACTGTCAGCCTCCGTCATCCCGGACACATCCCTAAAAATGGAATAAAAACAGGGAAACGGTTGCTTCCCTTTGCTCATGGGCAAATCCTCCTGTTCCCTTTGGGGACCTCCCTTCATGGATGGGGTGCGTCCAGGGCCAAAGTCCCCCAGTCTGGTCAGCACCTGGACTCCTTCCTCTCTACCTGTGGGGACCCTGCCTGTCCTGCACATCACCCACAAACACCTCCAGGAAGCCTCTCCAGGTAGGGATTGGTGCCTGGTGCCGCCTCCCTACACTGGGGCCTCCCAGGGACCCGCCTTCTACACAAGTGCATGGATTACAGATATGGCCACGGATATGTGGCACCCCCTCCCCAGCAGAGGTGGGGAAACCGAGGCTGGAACGGAAGCAACGTGGCCAGCTCCACTGCACCCAGCACTGTGGTCTGGGGACGCCGTGCTGTGCCCTCTGACTCTGGCACCTTGAGTCACCTCTCTGAGCCATGGTTTTTCTCATGAGGGAAGAGGAAAACCAGCGCCTGCTTCCTGGGAGCGGTGAGTGTGAGGATGAGGCGCGCAGCGCCCACCCAGCAGCGGACGTGGGGAGGCGCTGATGTGAAAACCGCGACACAGAGTCGCCGGCTGCCTCCTGCTCCAGGTCCTCGGCCCAGGCAGCTCTGCGTCTTCCCCCTGGATCCCCGGCATGTCCTCAGGCCTCCTTCTCTCTGGGTCTGTGGGCCCCTCACCCCCTCACTCAGGGTCTGGGGTGCTGAGAACAGGCTGGGCTGGACTTACCTTCCATAGAGACGTGGATTCCCAAGGTCAGCCCTGCAGGTGGTAGAGGCAGCGACCGTCCAGCCTGCGAGGGGACAGACTGTCCTTCCCCAGCCGTGGCCTGGGCTGGAGAGGCCTGGGAGGTCACTGCCACCCGTTTTCCCATTCAGGGGCCCAACGCCCAGCACGAGCCCTGAGGCAGATGTGCAGGAACCAGTATGAGGGGCCGACCCTCAATCCCCCGTGCCTCAGTTTCCTCACTGTGCACAGGCACCCGGGAAGGCAGCCTGAGTCTTCTGGGCTTGGAAACGACAGTAGCAAGAGAACTCCAACAGTGCCCAGATGCCACATGCGACCCTTATGGGGACACAGGGGCCACCTTGCCCCAGTCCATTTCCCCGTCCCCAGGTCAGATGAGCAGCGCAGGGACTTGAACTGGATTCAGACCCTGAAGCCATCATGGTGCAGGGTTCCTCAAAGTGTGGGCCCCCAGGCACGAGGCAGGTTTGAGGGGTTCCTGTTTAAAATGCTCACTCCCAGGCCCTCCTCAGATCCCATGGAGCTGAAAATCCCCCAGCATGGCTCCCACTGCATGGGCTGGAATGAGGGGCCTTGCCTGACTTCTCTCTTGAGCCAGGTCCAGCAGGGGGCAGTCAGCTGAGGAAGTTACTAGAGCTGCTCGCAGTCCCCACCCCAGTGCCTGATAGGACGGAGGAGGTTGGGAGAAGACAGGGAAGGCTTCCAGGAGGAGGTGGGCTTGGCTGGGAGGAGGCTCTGAGCAGCGACCCAGTCTGCGGGAATGGAGGTATCCACCAGCCCAGCCCCTCTGCTGCACCTCCGGAACAGGCCCCAGGCCTGTTGAGCACCACTGCCGAGCCTCACGCCAGCCTTGCCCGGCACCCCTCTCCCAGCCGCTGGGGACCTGGGGGCACTGGTGGTCCTGAGCATCATCAGGGCCTGGAGATGTCCTTGAGGGCACCTGGGAGGATGCAGGAGGCCAGGGATGTTTCAGAACGCAGAGGATGGCCGGAAATCGCTAGGAGGGTGGTGACCAGCAGGCGGGGTGGGGCTGGGAGACCCCACGGGTGATGGGTGAGGGGAGATGGGAGACCCCACGGGTGATGGGCAAGGGGAGGGAGAGTGAGGTTCAAGGCTTTATTTCACTTTTCCTGTGGCTTCATTTGTCTTTTTTAGAAAAGATGACATCACATAGAAATGGGCTGGAAGAACCTCTGGAGGGACAGCTCCAGGACAACCGGATGCACTCCTGAAGCTGATGCCAGACACGACTGGTTTCCAATACAGGGTGGTGCACTGGGGGTCTAGCTGGCTCACAATGTTAAAAATATTTTTGAATCAAATCGGAAGACTTAAAATTCAGGTTTCTGGCATTGCTGGAAAAATCAGGGCTTGCTGGTGAAGGGTGGCAGCCGGACGGAGGCGAGGACGTGCTCCTCGCAGGGTGCTGTGGCCGCCTGTACCACTCCCCCGCTCCCTGTCACGGGCCATCCACAGCTGTGTTGGGTAGGGTGCCTCTCGCCAGCGTCACCCAGCGTGGAGGGGGCTTGCAAGGGAAAGGGGGGTCACTCACAATTCTCCTGGGACAAGAGACTAAACTGCCCGGCCCCAGATACGCCAGGACACGCGGCCACGTCATCACCAGCCCCAACAGCGCTTGGATGGGTCAGGACAGGGCTCCCAGACAATTCACTCTGCCTGTCAGAAACGGTCACGATACACAGATTCCGCCAGAACAAGGACCATTCCCATCTGCTCTGGAAAAACCGTCCAAACAAGTGTGTCAGTCTGTGATGACTGCAACGTGAGCCGCTTCCCCTCGGCGGAATCCTGGCACCGTGCGCGGCCCGCACTCCTATCCTTGGCAGTCCTGCACCCGTTGCGGGAAAAGTTCTCTGCACCACAGGTCCGTCCATCCACGTGGGCAACGAAGGGCAGCCCAAGGCCTCAGGAGGCCCATGTCCAGCTGCTCCCCTCATTCCTCTCCCCTGCTTGGCCTCAGATGCTTCACTTGGAATCTTGGTTTTACACCAGGAGGTTGATTGTTTTCCCCCAACTGCTACAACTTGTAAACATATTGACGGTGAGCGTTGATGACGGAATTCAAGTTGGTGGTGGTGCCCTGCGTTGGCCTCTGCCGCAGGGGACCAATGTGGTCCGGAGCCTTGGGCTGCACCTGGGGAGTCCCTTGCTGTACGTGGGGTGGGGAGTTGAGCCCTTTCCCCACCAGCCTTCTTGCTCTGGGGCCCGACTGCTGTCTGCACAGAAGGCCTCCCCACCGCCGTGTGGAGACTCCAGGAGACCCAGTCTCTTTGGGTGGCTGGGCCTGCTGGTCTCTGCTGTGCTGGAGCAAAGCAGGCACGGAGGTGAATCAGTGGGTGCTCTGTTCCAGGCTGTTCCCCTGACATGGGCTGGCCTGGGGACCTAGGCCAAGGCCAGCGCACACCAGGCCTCTTGGTGCAGAGGCCCCCCGAGGCCAGCCTGGGGGCTCAGGGCTGTGGAGGGGAAGGCAAAGTCCTCAGGCTCGAACTTGAACTCCAAGTGGCCGGGGGCAAGGGAGTCATCCTCCTGGCCGGAGGCCTGCAGGGACAGGAGAGCATGAGAATGCGGGGTGGGGGGTGGGGAGGCAGCTGCGGCCTCTTAGGTCAGGAGCTCCCATGACCAGGATTTGCCCTTAGGGACCCCTTGATGCCCTGGAATGGCATGGGGGACCCCTCGTGAGGGACTGGGTTCCCCCATCTGGCACAGTCAGCTCTAGGGGAAGGTCCACCATACTGATGGCCGAAGGCCGCCGGTGTGTCTAGCCCACCTGCTGGAAGAGGTTCCAAGGGGCTCTGATGGGATCTGACTTGGCCGAGGAAGCACAGGGGCCCCAGCTCTGGGCACCCCAGCCCGCCCCCTTACCTGGGGGGCCATGCTGGGCCCAGGGCACATTGGGGACGCCAGGCTGGGCTTGGGTTTCGAAGTGGCTGCCGAGTTGTCAGTGCTGGGGACAGCAGATGGGGAGGCCGACGCGTTCGTTGTGGATCCTGGGAGGGAAGAGTGGGTGTTTACAGAAGGCCAGGTGTGGCCTCACTTCCCCTTCCTGCCATGTAGCCAGGTCTCCTCTGGCTCTGGCCCAGAGAGGTTTGGAGACTCCTCACGGTCACACCGTGGGCGTGGGTGGTGGGGCCGGGCATGGCTTCCTTGGCCCCACCTCTGCCCCTGCTGCCCACATGCTGTCACCATCCTGGCCCCCCACACCCCCCAGCAAGGTCACCACAGGGCAGAGCTGAGGGCATTTGGACTTCCAGAGGACTGTGCTTGAACCAAACACACAGGTCTCTCATGACGGAACTGGAGGCACCGAAGGCCACGCCGCAGGAGGGGGGTGACCACAGGGCCTGGCCACACACCTGAGGAGCCCCTGGTCTTGGCGATGGTCTTTGGCTTCCGCTTCCGTGTCTGGATGCTTTCCTTCTTCATGGCCAGAGGCCGCGGCACCTGGCAGAGGTGGCGAGGGTGGAGGCTGGTCCCGTCCCTGCTCACCCCTGGGCCCCTTGCACAGCACCCCCTCATTCCAGTCCCCCAGAGCCGGTCACTCCTGGAGCTGGCTGTGTCCTCATAGCCCTGGTGGGTCAGCTGCCAGTTGGGCTGGGTGAGGGGGAGCCCGTGGAGCTGGATTCCCATCCTCCTGTCCGACAGAGCTGCCAGGGGCCAGAAGGCACCAGGGGTGCCCAGAGGGCAGGAGCAGTGTCCTTGTCTGGCCCAGGCTGAATGACCGTGGTGAGCCTCAGTCAGCCCGTCTGTGCCATGAGCGTAACAGGAACAGCCCGGGCCCCCGGGGGGTGGTGCTGCAGTCAGCCAGGACATGTGTGTAGTACAGCCCAGGGGACAACAGCCATCCGGCCAGCTCCTCCCCAGCCTCCCGGTCTGGGAGTAGGGAGCGCGCTCACTAGGAGGCTGGACAGAGGCCTCCCCACCCTGCCCTGGGACCACACTCACCCCGTGCAGCTTCATGTAGAGACCGCAGGCGTTGCACACGGGCTCCCCCTCCGAGTTCCGCCGCCACAGTGTGGTGTTGGTCGTGTGGCAGTTGGTGCAGCAGAGGCCGGCGCGGCGGGATGAGGACTGTGGGGACGAGGGAGACGAGTGAGCGCGCGGCCGTGTGCACCGCTGGAGCAGGGGGAAGGAAGCGAGACTCAGGTTGGCCTTGAAGCCACGCAGGACCCAGTGAGAAGGTGTTTGGAGCATGAAGGTCGTGAGCTCTGCAATGGACCGGCCTGGCAGCTCTGCCTGGACACGCCCTCGAGTCCTGGGAAGGGTAACTTTACCTTCCTGGGCCTCCGTTCTTCCCCCTGCCCAGAAAAAGGGGGTGATAACAGACCCACCACAGGCCGGTTGTGGGGTTCAGAGCCCGTGGGGACCGGGCACCTAGACACGGCAGTGGTTTTCCTGTTGTCTGTTTTAGCACCAACCCTGGGCCTGGACCCTGCGATTCTGCAGTGGAGCAGCACCCCAAGGCCACAGGGCCCCCTCAGAGGCCAGGACACAGCAGGCATCAGGGCCTGTGTTACCCCTGTGCACCTGCCTCCCAGACCGGGGGCCCCATCGGACAGCGTCTGAGGGCTCTGGGTCCCACCTGCCTATGTCTCCCCATTGCTGTGCACTGCACCTGGTGTTGGAGCAAGACTGGACCCATCTGGAACCGTCCGGAGGCCCCAACATTGCCTCCCTCCTTCCTGTGGCTCTCAGTAGAGACTGACCCCCAATCTGGCAGGTCCAGGTCCAGTCAGAGGTCCCGAACCTCCAGGGCCCCAGTCCGTGAGCTCAGTTGGGGCTCAGGAATCTGGACTGAGGGAGGCCTGGGAGGCTCCGAGCTGGCTGCCTGGGGAGTCCCTGTTGAAGGCGGACCAGGGGCCTCCCACCAGCTCACGCCAGCCTTTCTCCTGCTGGCCTCACAGGTTGGTGCTTGGAGGGAGGTGGTGTTTGGGAGCTCCAGCCCAGGGCTCCAGAGGCACCTCAGACTTGAAGCCCTTTCCCGAATCTCAGCGCACAGCTCTGCTGGTGGCACCACCCTTCCCAGCCACCTGTCCCCAGACCTGGCTCTCAGCCCCTGCCCTGACCCCATCGGTTCCCTTCCCTCGGGTTGCACAGCCCCCGCCTGATCCAGGTTCCTGGCCCGTCTTGCCAGGATCCCAGTGGTGGCTCTGCAGGAGCTCTGTCCTGCCCTCCCGGCGGCAGCCAGGGCCAGACCATCAGTGTGCCTCAGGCACAGGACGCAGCCTGTGAGGACGAGGCCCCCATGCTCAAAGCCATGCCCCCAGATTCTCTACCAGGACAGAGCCAGAGAGCAGTCACAAGTGAGCCAGCCACACTAGGGGAAAAGAGGAAAAGAATCCATCCTGAACGAGGGCTGAGTGGACCCAGCCAGCCTTAGCTTCACGGTCTGTTACTGACATAAGCAGACGCAGCCAGCCTCAGCTTCCCCATCTGTCATAGCCTGCCTCAGTTTCCCTGTCTGTTATAGCCTGCTTTGGTTTCCCCGTCTGTTACTGCCGTGAGCAGACACAGCCAGCCTCAGCTTCCCCGTCTGTTATAGCCTGCCTTGGTTTCCCTGTCTGTTATAGCCTGCCTCAGTTTCCCTGTCTGTTATAGCCTGCCTCGGTTTCCCTGTTACTGACGTGAGCAGACACAGCCAGCCTTGGCTTCCCCATCTGTTATAGCCTGCCTTAGTTTCCCCATCTGTTGTAGCCTGCCTCGGTTTCTCTGTCAGTTACTGCCCTCTATGATCAGATGAGGGCCGGCCTTGCTGACCATCTCCTGCCCACCCTTTTCCAAGCTGCTGCCAAACGCACAGGCCTACCTGTCCAAGGCCTGAGTGGGAGAGTGGGGCCTGCCTGCAGCCCTGAGAACCAGCCAGCTCCCAAACTCAAGACCTCCTTGAGCCCCAGCCGCGGCTGCAGGCAGTTGCCAAAGGCTCTGGGAACGCTGCCCCTGCTTCGTCTGGGGCCTCCGGTCTCCAGACAGGACCCTGCCCTGCACTCCATGACACAGGCAGAAAGGAAAGGAAGGGGTCCGGCCAGTGAGGCTGGGGAGGCTTGAGAAGTGCCTCAGCTTGCAGCTCCTGGCCTGACTGGGGGAGGACAATGTCCCCTACCTTAGGCCAGTAGCATCCAGCCACTCAGGGTCTCCAGGGGTCTCCCTGGGGGGACGCTGGGGGTGAGACTTGTGCTCACGCTGGAGGGCCCAGCCCAGGCCCCAGCAGAGCTGGAAGGGAGATGGCGCCTGGCCCCAGCTGGATGGGGGGCACCCTTCATGCAGGAGCAATTGGGGTCACCCAGGGCCCCCAGCTGGTGTCTCTCCCTGGGATGCCCCCGCCACACCCTGACGGGTCTAGAAGCAGCTACTGTGACTGGACAGGATTTGAGTCTGGTCCAGCCTCCCTCTCTTCTATCCCTGTCGGGTGCCAGGAGCTGTGGCTACTTCCTTGGTGGCCTCAGGCCACCGTCCAGCATGACGCATGGTCTCCTTCCCACGTCTCGGACAGCCACCCATCTGTCTGTCTTCCTGAAGTGGAAAGAAATCTCCCCCAGGGCTGCCAGACGTATCGACCCAGCATGCCTAGGTAAATGTGAATTTCTGATACATGATGAATCCTTTGTCTCCTGCAGTATTTGGGATATGAGGGCTAAAATATTTGTGTTTATCTGAAATCACGTGGAACCGCGTGTGGCCTGGAGTTTATTTGCTGACTCCCTCCTTGTGCCCCAGCAGTTCCCGCCTTCAGACCGAGAGGCATCCATGGCCCAAGGCCTGTCTGCTTCTCTGAACCAGCGGGACCCTCAGGTCTGGGACCGGCCATCGCCCCTTAGCACACACAGATAGGGGTGCACACACGTGAGCACACTCCACACGTCCCCCCACAGCTGCCAGCATGCCCCGACGGGGCCACGTCTGAGACACGGGTTGTGGCGAGAAACAAGGTGGGGCGCGTGCAGGACGTGTGTGGGTTGGGACAGCCCCCAGTAGAGGGCACACCCCTCACCCCGCACCCCTGTGAGTTCCAGGGAAACACCTGGACCTCACTTTGAATGTTTTCACAGTAAGCATGTTTCATTTCTATCAAATTAGGAAAGCGGGAAAAACACGGACCTCACAACAATTTTCAAAGTGCATCTTCACCTACCCTTTCCTAAATCTTCACCAGATCACCATTGTACGGGTGGGAGACTGAGGCTCAGAGGAGCTGAGGGACCAGAGGAAACTGGGGAGGCCCGGGGTGGACAGAAACGTCCCACTCAGCCAGATACTTTGGGGACACGATCCCAGCAGTGTGCCCGCGCTGGGGCTCCCTGTGCCACCGTACCTCGCTGATGCCTCCATCCGTCCCTCCTCACTGCCCAGCAAGCAGCCCCCAGGCCTCTCTCCTGGCTGTGCTTCGTTTTTCTATTTTGTCGGTTCTTTTCAACAGAAGTCAAACTTCAAAGCCTGCTTGCGTGCAGCAGAGCCGCTCTAAGCACCAGGCTCTGCGTGCATCTGAGACATCCAAATAAATCAGGCTCTGGGCAGGGCAGGGCCTAGGCCGATGCTGGCGGAAATTCAAGGAGCACGGGAGAGGGAAGGAGGTTCAGCCTGAGCCTGTCGTGCAGGGATGAAGCGCGCACGCTGGGAAACACTTTGGAGTAAAGGTGCAGGGCACAGCGACCCGCAGCGCAGCGTCCTCTGAGATGGAAGACCGGGCTGTGGACAGCCAGAGGCTGCTGTGCCACAGTCTGAGCCTTGGGGACCGGTGAGTGCTGGAATGTCTCCAGATTCAAACGGGTCCCGTCTCGGAGGGAAGATGTAGTAAGCACCTGATACAGCGCCTATGCCCCTTGCTGGCTGAGGGCAAACTGACTTGGGGACTTGGGTCTGTGAGGGGCTCGAAGCAATGAAGCCCTGGGGTTGGGTGGGTGTTAGGTGCCTGACTCCAGGTCAGGGCCAGGCTTGCTCAGCGGGAAGGGACGGTTGGCCCCATGCGACACTGGGCTACTTCCTGGAGCTGGTGCCAGAGGTGGCCCTGGGTTAGGAGGTCTGCTGCCCGCACTGCCCTTGGCTGCCAGGCTCCAGGCTTCAGCCCGGGCTCTAGTGTTCTTGGGGGTGGGCTGCTAGGGGCCCAAGAGTTCCTAACCGTGTCCATGCACAGAGCCAGACCACAGGGAGAGGGCACGGTGGTACCAGACGGTCCCCACCCTCCGAGGCCTCTGGTCTTGGCAAGATGGACAGGAAACAGGAACCTCCCCCAGAAGGCATCCCAAAGTCCACCCTGCATCCCCCAGACCAGGGAATGGAGGCCTCATCACGCCAAGGACCCCCATCAGCCCGTCCTTAGAGCCAAGGCCCAAGCATACAATACCAGCTAATTTAATCTCGACAGCAAGGCATGGACGATTCCAAGTTCCTCTTCCCAATTCTCAGATGAGGCGACAAAGGCTCAAAGAGCTGGGGAACGGTCTACAAGATGCCACAGCCTAGGAGTCTGGGATCCAGCTGGACACAGGCATTGCCCGGCTGGAAGACCCAGGGCAGGGCAGGGCAGCAGGAGGGGCTCCCTCCCAGCAGCTCCTCCTGATACCAGTGTGTCCCAGTGCCCAGTTCAAGGCCTGGCAGGGGGAGAGTGGATACAGCCAGAGGAGGGGCAACCCTTTGCATGGGCGAGGGTGGGGAAGAGAGATCTGGCCTGCAGTCTCACAGGAGCTGGGCTGAGCTCCCTACCACTTCTCTTTTTTTAAAAAAATTAATTTAATTTAACTTAAAATGTAATTATTCAATTTCTTTTTCTTTTTCTTTTTTTTTTTTTTGTGATGAGGTCTTGCTCTGTTGCCCAGGCTGGAGTGCAGTGGTGCCATCTCGGCTCATTGCAGTCTCAGCCTCTCAGCTCAAAAGATCCTCCTGCCTTAGCCTCTCAAGTAGCTGGGACCATGGTTGTGTGCCATTGTGACCAGCTAACTTCTAAATTTTTCGTAGAGACCTGGTCTCCCTATGTTGCCCAATGCTGGTCTCGAACTCCTGGGCTCAAGTGATCCTCCTGCCTCAGCCTCCCAAAGTTCTGGGATTACAGGCGTGAGCCATTGCACAGGACAAATTTATGTATTTTTAGAGACAGAGTCTGCCTTTGTTGCCCAGGCTAGAGTGCAGTGGTGTGATCATAGCTCAGTATACCCTTGAACTCTTGGGCTCAAGTGATCCTCCTGCCTCAGCCTCCTGAGTAGCTGCGACCACAGGTGTGTGCTACCATGTCTGGCTAATCTATTTTTTTTTTTTTTTTTTTTTTTGAGATGGAGTCTCTGTTGCCCAGGCTGGAGTGCAGTGGTGTGATCTCGGCTCACTGCAAGCTCCGCCTCCCGGGTTTACGCCATTCTCCTGCCTCAGCCTCCCAAGTAGCTGGGACTACAGGCGCCGCCACCACACCTGGCTAATTTTTGTATTTTTAGTAGAGACAGGGTTTCACCGTGTTAGCCAGGATGGTCTCGATCTCCTGACCTCGTGATCCGCCCGCCTCGGCCTCCCAAAGTGCTGGGATTACAGGCGTGAGCCACCGCACCCGGCCTCTATTTTTTTTTTTTTTTTTTTTTAAATTTTTAGTGGAGATGGATTCTGGCCGTGTTGCCCAGGCTGGTCTCGAACTCCTGAGCTTAAGCAATCCTCCTGCCTCAGCCTTCCAAAGTTCTGGGACTATAGGTATGAGCCACCGTGCCTGGCTCCTACCCCTTCTTAACCTCAATGGTTAACCCCTCAGTGAAGGCCACATGGACACGAGGCTGGAACAGCACACCTGGGAGCACAGGCACAGTCACAGGGGCAAACAGGCCAAGAGGGGGATGGACTCCTAGGAGCCTTCCCTCCGACAAGCAGGCATGGTAGGAGGCTGGGCCTGCAGAGCCCCAGGCTCTAGGCCAGCTCCAAGGAAGAGCGTGACGGCCGCCCCCAGCCTTCGATCCTTCTTCCCACATGCTCCACTGGGACCTCCCATGCTCAGATCCTGGTGCCCCATAGCCCAGGGTCCCAGGTTTTCCCCTCAGCTTGTGGCTGAGGGCCATACAGAGCTGCACCAGCACAGGGCGCGAATCCAGCCATCTAGAACAGCCAACCCGCAGGACAGTGGCAGGAGTGCTGGCCTCCACCCAGGGTGACTGCAGGAACTGGCTGATCGACCCCGCACGGAGGCCACACCACCAGCAGAGGAGGGCTTGGTGCCCAGGAACATACCCTTGCTCAGCCTTCTGACCCAAGGGCCACTGTGGCCTCCTCAATTTTAGATAACTTGCAAACAGCATCAACACCCCAAATTCTTATTTGTAAAATTACTTGAAAGTAAAGGTTTGCCTGGGAAAGCGTATAGAACAAAGTAACTTTCAGCCTCTTCCAGCCTCTGGGGACTGTGCCCTGCCTAGGGCAAAAGTCCGGGCTCTGGAGTCCCCCACTCCCTGCTCAGCCACAAGCTGGGAAGAACCAAAAGTGAAAACAAGTTTTGCCCACAGGCATAAACCTGGTGTCCCTCCGGTCCCTGAAGTATAGGTAGAAAGTGCTCCCCGAGGGGACTACAGACCCAAAGACTCTCCAATTTCAGATTTCAACACCCTTCAGTGAAGTATCCAGCGGCCACCTTCCCTTAAGCCTCAACCCAGGTAGGGTCACCTTGAGGCCTCGGAGACCGGGCCAGGCCACAGCCAGCCACCACCGACTCGTAGGGCTGAGCTCCTGGCTCCTGGCAGCAGCCCTTCCTGGACCCAGCACTGAGCAGAGCCTGGCTGGCACCGTCGCTCCGGAGCCTGGATTCCTGGTCCCCAGAGCACTCCCAGGGCTGGGCGCTATGAGCTGGTGGCCCCTGGCGTCCCCACTGGGATCCGCTGCCCTGCCCTGAGCACTCTCAGAGAAGACCTGAGCCGGCCTGGCCTGACCGACCGGGGTGGGCAACCAGGCTGTTTTTGGCGCATTCCCCTATCCCCCCACCCCAGGGGCTCTGGTGTCACCTGGGTGGATTGCAAGAGGTCCCCGTGGGGGAGCACTGCGCCCAGGCCCCCCTCTGCCCAGCCGGAACTCACCAGGCGCTTCTGGGGCCGAACGAGGGGCCGGTTGATGCCGTTCATCTTGTGGTAGAGGCCGCAGGCATTGCACAGGTAGTGGCCAGTGCCGTCTCGGCGCCACAGTGGTGTGGACAGGGCCCCGCAGTTGACACACTCACGACCCTCACCCGGGAACTCCTCCAAGAAGTCGGACACTGAAGGGACAGGCAGCTGGTGGGCCCAGGCCCTCCCCTCCCCAGGAGCCTCCCCAGCCTGTGGGCCAGCACCTTCCCCTCCCCAGGAGCCTGGCAGTTTTCGTCAGATGAACAAATTTAAGGCACAAATTTTGTGCCTTACATTTATTTTATTTTAAAATTTATTTGGTTATGTAGTTCATCTTATTTTTAAATTTTTAATTCACATATGATAAAATTCGCTAGGGTTGCTTTTTCAAGGATGGGGTGTTAATAAACAGAACCTGAAGTCAGACACCTGGGACTCCCGCTCCAGGACCAGGGGCCAGCACTGGCCTCTGCGTGTTTGACCTGCTGGGAAAGCAGGGTGTCTGCACTGGCGGGGGAGGTGGATGAAGGGGTGTCTACACTGGCAGGGGAGCGATGAAGGGGCTTTATCTAGCAGACACTCTTGGGATCCCCTGGGCTCTCCTGGGAACGCGAACCCCGCTGTCCTCCTGTTCTGCAAAGCGGGTCCATGGCAGGGGTCGGGGGTTGGGAGGGTGGAGGAGGTGCCTTCTGTCAGCTTGGCTGTGGTCGCAACCAGTGTCCTTCCTTTAGAAGGCCAGCCCCCTCTCGCAGCGCCCTGGGGCCGGGCTTCGCACACTGTGCGGCGGGGGGGTGGAGGTCTTCCTGGTCCCCTCCAGGCCCGGCCCGGCGCCGGCGCGAGGGAGGCCCGGGCGCCGAGTGGGGGTGGGGCAGGGATCAATCATCGCCCCGCCGGGGGTGGGCGCCAGCCGCGGGGCTGCCCAGGGCGGCGGGGGCCAGGGGTCCTGCGGATGCGGCTGAGCCCGCTTCCTGCGCCAAGGGACCGGCGGGGTCCCAACGGCAGCTCCGGAGCTGGGTGTCGAGGCCTCCACGGTCCCGGAGGGATGGGATGGGCCCCTGCGGAGCTCAGAGGCGCCGCCTTCGCCAGAAAGTGACTACGCTGCAACCGGGAAGAGCCGCTCCCTTCACCGGCCGAGAATCCGATTCTCCAAACTGATACTAGGCGAGCGACTGAAACCAGGTCTCAAATTAAAATAAGTAAGCATTCTAGAACCGAGACGAATGTGGCCACTTAAATACACCGGTGTTTTGGACTTTATAAAAATCGTTTCCAAAACTTTTCAAAAAAAAAAAAAAAAGAAAAAAAGAAAAGAAGAGAAAAAAACAAAACGATTAAGACTTTTTAGGCGCCACATTGGCACAATCCGGAATGCTGTTTGGAAGTAGATGTTCTCATTAACAGGTTAGAACAGAATTGTGGACGGCTGTTTCTCCCGCGGGGCGTTACCCAGGCTTTCTCCTGTTGCCCCGGGGCTGCTGGTGTGGCTCCTGGCGGGGAGGCTCGGACCGTGGGGGAGGAAGAGGGAGCGTTTCGCAGGGTGCGGGTTTGCACCCGGATTCGGCCAGCCCCCGGGCCCCGAGATTGTGGACCCCGCACTTACCGAAGGTGGGCCTGCGGCCTGGGAGGCCGTGCAGGACGCTTCCATCGAAGGGCCCGGCAGTCCAGGACGGGGCCACGTCGGGGCTCACGTAGGCCGGATAGGTGGCGGGGTATGAGGTCGTCACGGGCCGCCCAAGAGGGGCCGCGAACTGTTCTCGAGGCAATAGCGCGCCTTGGTAGGCGCTGCCGTCCCGGCCCCCCACGCTGCCGCCGCTGCCGGGCCCCGAGGGGCTGTGCGCAAAAGGGAAGGCGGTGGCCCCGGGCGGGTGCGCGGCTGGCGGGTGCGGGCTGCCCGGGCCGAAGGCCGACGAATCCGCAGTGGCGGTCTGCGCCCAGCCGGGGCGCGCAGCGAGCTCGGGGGGCTGCGGGCTCGGCTCACACCCAGACAGGTAGGACAGCATCGAGGGGACGCGCGCCGGCGGCACAAACATCGGAGAGCCGGTGCCCGGAGCGTGCAGGAAGGAGCCCGAGTCGGCGTAAGCTGCCTGGCTGGGGCTCGCGGCCAGCGCCAGGCTCTGGTACATCCTCCCAGGCGCGGTCTTGACCTGCAGGGAAGAGGGACAGGTGTGGAGGTCACCGGAGCTGTGCGCCCTCGGCCAGCGCCCGAGCTTGTGCCGGGCAGGTGCCGCCGCTTCGGGCCGCGCTTCCCACTCCCCAGCCCGGGCCGTTCTCGGGGCGGGTCCCTGAACCGGAGGGAGAGGAACCGCTGGGATGGGAGCGGCCAGCGCGTCATCCCCGGGGCAGTCACAACGCCGAGCCCACCTCCTCTCGGACCGGGGCTTCGTGGGCCCCCGGGGTGAGCTCGGCGGGGGGCTGAGAAGGACGGGCCCGGCGCGGCCGCAGGCCGCAGGGCCTTGGGAGCGGGGCCCCGCCGCGCTGGGAGGGGCCGGGTGGAGAGGGGCGCGCGGCTGCGGCCCGGGCTGGAGCACTCACCAGCCGGCAGGGAGGGCGGGAGGGCACGGCGGTGGCGGCGGTGGGTCGGCGACCGGCGGGCCGAAGACTGGAAGCTGGGGGCGGTGAGGCTCCGCAGCCCCCTCCGCGCCGCCCCGGCCCGCCCCCGCCGCGCCGCCCCTTCCCTCCCCGCGCCAGCCCCTCCTTCCCCGCAGGGTCAGCGCTGGGGCTCCGGCCGCAGAGCCACGTGACCCGGGCAGGCTCAGCTCGCGGGGCTTGGCGACAAGGACGCACGACACGGGGCAGCCAGCGCGGAGCCCGGACCAGTGCAGCTACACAGGCGGGCCGAGAGCTTCGTGAGCCCCGGCGAGTCGGGCGCAGAAACTTCTCCAACTTTGTGCGAGTCTCCAACTTTGTGCGAGTTCCTCCCTGGCCAGGCCCCCGCCCAAGGCTGGCCTAGAGACGGGCTCCGTGTCTGGTGGCTGAGTCGGTGATCCCGGCCCCGCTCACCGATGGACACGCGGCGGTGGATCTCCGTGGGCCCCCTCGTTGCGTGGCCGCATTCGAGGCTCGGTGCAGGGAACTGGCTTCCGTAGGGACTGCCCGGCTCGGGTCGCTGGACTGGGACGGGGTGCACTGGCGGGAGCCCCCCGATTTCCTCGGTTTCTGAGCAAGCGGGGCCACGAGGCTCGGGGTCTTAGTGGGAGGCGGGCAGGGTCCAGCCTCTAAGGCCCGATCTGGGTGCCAGGCGCGAAGCCCGCAATCCCGGTGGGACTCTCAGCCGGCTCTCGGGGACTCGGGAAGAGTTTCCTTCAGGGGCCAGAAATGCGGGTAGGTAGGAAGCGACCCAGGTCAGGGAACTGTGTCCCACTCGCACTCCCGGTGAGGGCTGCATGGAGGCGTCGCTGCGGCGGAGCAGCTCCGCAGGTCTCGGGAACCGGACCGGTGGGTTCGGAGCACACCGGCTGGACCCAGGCTTGGCGGCGGCGCTTGGGGCCGTGAACGTTTTTCTCTGTCTGTCTGTCTTAGGCGGAGTCTCGCTCAGTCGCCCGGGCTGGAGTGCAGCTGTGCGATCTCAGCTCACTGCCTCCCGGGTTCAAGCGATTTTCCTGCCTTAGCCTCTGAGTAGCTGGGACTACAGGCACCCGGCACCACACCCGGCTAATTTTTGTATTTTTGATAGAGACTGGGTTTCACCAAGTTGGTCAGGCTGGTCTCGGTCGAGCTCCTGACCTCAGATGATCCGCCCACCTCGACCTCCCAAAGTGCTGGGATTACAGGCGGGAGCCACCACATGAAAGTTTTTTCTTGCAGAAACGGGCCCTCAGCTCCTGTCAGTCAGGGCTAGGAGAGGACGCTGGCTTCTCTCCTTGGTGGAGGGTGAAGACCTGGGAAGGCAGGAAGGCGGCAGTGTGGGGCTGTTGGGGTGGGTGTCACTGGATCCCCCCCACGGGGGTCTGGACAGCTAGCGCTGTCCGTCTGGGGAGAGCTGGGGTGCCCCACATGCGCCCTTATCCCTGGCCTTTCCTCTTCGGCCACAGCAGATAAGGATTCAGGGTGCTTGTGGAGGCGCCCAGGGTCCCTGCGTCTGGGAAGGCAGCAGGCTGGAGCCCCTGGTCTGTGGGGGCCTTGGGACCCCACAGAGGGCTCCACAGCGGGCTCAGGCCTGTGTAGAAGAGGGCGCAGCGCGGCAGGCTGGGGTGGGGGGTGAGTGCCATTGGGATAGGGAGCTAGGCGACCTTCCGTTACCCCTTTACCAGCTCCCAGCCCCCTCCTCGTCAGCTTCCCACCAGACACTCCCTCCTTTCCTGTCCTCAGAAACCCCAGTTGGTGCTGCCTGCCCTGTGTGGACTCCCCTGCTTTCTGCTCTGCCCGCGCTCGGGGTCTCCACGAGGGTCTCTCTTTGCCCCCACACCTGCAGACTTTGTCTGTGGATGGCAGTGCGCTCCATGACGGTGGGGAGAGGTGCCGGGCCTCCTTGGGGGTGAGGGGGCGCAGCGCAGTCCAAGCAGCTGCAGAGGGCTCTAGTGCAGCAAAGCTGGTTAGACCCAAGCTCTGACCCCTCTGCCCTCGAAGCCTCAGTTACCGAGCCCTCATGAGCACCAAGAAGGAAGAGAAGCAAAAAGGGACACGCGTGACTTGCTGGGAGCTGAGTCACCCGTAACCCCAAGAAAGGTCTAGAGACCAAGGAAAGAGGCACAGCAAACCTGGCACCCTGCAGGGCGAACGGGGGAGGGATTCGTGCTTCTTACTTGTAATAAAACTGGTGAAGTTCTTGAATAGGAAACACCAACATTGCCCGGGTGCTGTGATTTGTCCTGACATTTCCGTTTAATTCTCATATCAATCTTATGCACTAGATCACATTATCATTCCCATATACAGATGGAGAAACAGAGCACAGAGAGATGAGCTAACCTGCCCCAGGCCACACAGCTAGCAATTAAACAAGCCAATTAAAACAAGGAAGGGAGTCTCTGAGTGATAGCAGTTGGTTGCTTTTTTAAGTTAATAAGTATCTACAATGGACATTTGTATTAAACCCTGGGACTCCATGGAGAGCAGAGAAGGGAAAAGTCACTCTTCGAAGGCCCCTCCGAGGCTGCACCCCACACAAGGCAGCACAGGGCTGGGAGTCCGGGCTGTTCTGGCCACTCGGTGTCCTGCTAGGCGAGTCACAAGCTCACCCGCTCTGCAGCAGCAGCAGAAGCCGCTGGCGGCGTTTTCCATGTGGATCCAGCTGCCTCCAAAGTGATGCATGGGGGTGGGCACCCATCCGCGGGGGGTTGTCTGTGACAGTATCTGGACCTCTTCTCAGATGTGTTTCTACTTGAGCCAAAACGAGAGGAGTCTCAAACCTCAAAACCCAGGTGCCCCCGACCTCCTTGACCCCAATGAGCCATGCTTCTGTGCAACTCTCCACTCCCAGTGCTCTGGGCCCCTCAGGAAGGAGGTGGCCCCTGAGCCAGGTGACCCAGTCCACCAGGCTACCCCACCCAGCAGCAAGCCCTCTTCTCCGCTGGACCTTGCCCATGCTGCTTCCTGAATGGGCCTTTTGCCCTCTTCCCTACTTGCCAAACTCCTACACATCCTTCAAGGCCCATCTTGCAGGTCCCTTCCTGTCCCTTCCCCTACGTTGCTCTCTTCCCTTCCTGGTGCCTCATTGTGCTGTGTGGTCAAATGGCTGTGTGCCTCTGCCTTGTCACCTCAGCAGAAGCTGAGCCAGGAGGACAGCTTCAGGAACAGCGGGTCAGGGCATCGAGTGGGCATAGTCAGGCCTTTGGGACTCAGCGTTGGCATCTCTAGGCTGTGTGGCCTTGGGTGAGCTACTTCCCTCTCTGTGCCTTTCTTCTTCTGTTAGAGGAGGGTGATGATAGTGCCTGCCTCTCACAGCGGCTTTGGGGAGGCATTAGTGGGACTGGGTACTAACAGCGTCTGACCCGGGATGGGCATGCAGCAGGCACTGGGCTAATGCTGGCTGAGATAAAACCCAGTGCAGGGATGGAGGCTCTGAGCTGTGTGCCTGGGGCCCTGATGCAGGCCCCAGAAACCCAGTTGGTGCTAAGCTCAACCCAGGAATTCTGCTTCTGGCTCTGCCCGCGCTCGGGTCTCCACGAGGGTCTCTCTTTGCCCTCACACCTGCAGACTATCTGTGGATGGCAGTGCGCTCCATGACGGTGGGGAGAGGAAGGGCCCCTTGGGGTGAGGGGCGAGAGCGCAGTCCAAGCAGCTGCAGAGGCCCCAGTGCAGCAAAGCTGGTTAGACCCAAGCTCTGACCTCTGCCCCTCGAAGCCCCGTGCTGGCCGAGCCCCCATGAGCACCAAGAAGGAAGAGAGAAGTGGGTGACACGCGACTTGCTGGGAGCTGAGTCAGCCTGTAATCCTGCAAGAAAGGTCTAGAGACCAAGGAAAGAGGCACAGCAACCTGGCACCCGTGCGCTAACGGAGATTCGTGCTTCTTACTTGTAATAAAACTGGTGAAGTTCTTGAATAGGAAACACCAACATTGCCCGGGTGCTGTGATTTGTCCTGACATTTCCGTTTAATTCTCATATCAATCTTATGCACTAGATCACATTATCATTCCCATATACAGATGGGAGAAACAGAGCACAGAGAGATGTGACTTAACCTGCCCAGGCCACACAGCTAGCAATTAAACAAGCCAATTAAACAAGGAAGGGAGTCTCTGAGGAAAGTAGCAGTTGGCTGCTTTTGCTAATAAGCATCTACAATGGACATTTGTATTTAAAACCCTGGGACTCCATGGAGAGCAGAGAAGTGGTGTTACCTTCTCGAAGGCCCTCCGAGGCTGCACCCCACACAAGGCAGCACAGGGCTGGGAGTCCGGGCTGTTCTGGCCACTCGGTGTCCTGCTAGGCGAGTCACAAGCTCACCCGCTCTGCAGCAGCAGCAGAAGCCGCTGGCGGCGTTTTCCATGTGGATCCAGCTGCCTCCAAAGTGATGCATGGGGTGGGCACCCATCCGCGGGGTTGCTCCAGACAGTATCTGGACCTCTTTCTCAGATGTGTTTCTACTTGAGCAAAACGAGAGGAGTCTCAAACCTCAAACCCAGGTGCCCCCGAATTTCCTTGACCCCAATGAGCCATGCTTCTGTGCAACTCTCCACTCCCAGTGCTCTGGGCCCCCAGGAAGGAGGGTGGTCTCTGAGCCAGGTGACCCAGTCCACCAGGCTACCCCACTCCAGCAGCAAAGCCCTCTTCTCCGCTGACCTTGCCCATGCTGCTTCCTGAATGGGCCTTTGCCCTCTTTCCCTACTTGCCAAACTCCTACACATCCTTCAAGGCCCATCTTGCAGGTCCCTTCCTGTCCCTTCCCCTACGTTGCTCTCTTCCCTTCCTGGTGCCTCATTGTGCTGTGTGTGGTCAAATGGCTGTGTGCCTCTGCCTTGTCACATTTCAGCAGAAGCTGAGCCAGGAGGACAGCTTCAGGAACAGCCGGGTCAGGCATCGAGTGGCATAGTCAGGCCTTGGGACTCAGCTGGCACTCTAGGCTGTGTGGCCTTGGGTGAGCTACTTCTCCCGTGCCTTTCTTCTTCTGTTAGAGGAGGGTGATGATGCTTGCCCTGCCTCTCAGCAGCGGCTCAGAGGCATTAGTGGACTGGGTACTAACAGCCTGACCCGGGATGGGCATGCAGGCAGGCACTGGGCTAATGCTG